TGTCGGGCGTCCTGGGCAGGGCTCAAGGAGGGTGGGGCTGGGGTCCACGCACACATGGGGAGAGGGCAGGGTGGTGGGTGAGGAGGGGGGCCGGGTTGGGAGCCAGGGCGCGGCTGGGGTGGGGTCGGGGTCCCCTTCCCGCCTGGGGACCAGCCCGGGCAGTAAACAGACGCTGTGATGTCATGGGCGCCGCTGACCTGTGGCTGAACCCGGAGCTGCAAATGAGATGCGAGGTGCCAGCAGCCTCCGGGCCGCAGCCTGCGAGCCACACACGCTCCTCCGCGCCGCCGGCCGGAGGTTACCCCAGCTGCACACACGGACAGGATGCTGCAAACGCCACCAGACATTGCAACACGCAGCCAGTCTGCTGGCCGCAGCGTGAACCCTCCCGACAGCCCCCCCCAGGCAGGCACCCGCCCAGCTGGAGCCGCCTCCCTCCTCCGGAGCATCCCCGGGGGCTGGCAGCCCCCACCCATCTGGGGTCAGCTCTTCACTAGGGACCCCGTCCTACACCTCCCCACGGGGCCTCCACACCCAAGGGCTTTCTGCAGAGCAGATTGGGGGAATGCCTGCGTTTGCTGTAAGCTTTCTGGGAAACTCATTCCCTCTATGTTGAGAAGTTCCAAAGTTCCGGGGGCAGGGGTGGGGTGGGGTAGAGGTGGGAGGAGTAATGGGTGGGCGTTGGGGGAGATGGTGGAGGAATATATATATATCCTTCAGGTATAAAGAGATGCCAAAGGGCCCTGATGGCTGCCCATCACCCCCCCATTCGGAAGTGGGGCACAGATCTATTTCCGGGAGCTCCCATAGCGGCCCTGGACTCCATACCTTTGGCAGTGCTTGGTGCCAGAACTGCCCTCTGAAATGGAAAGCAGCCTGGCTGGGGTCTCAAGAACTTTGCTCTGGAATTGGTTTGTTGTGTGACTTTTGCATGAGTCACTAGGCATCTCTGGGCCTCACCATGTCCATCCGAGGAAGTGGGGAAAATCGAGCCCGGCCTCCCTCTGCTGGTGTGGGGAAGGGCATAAGGGCGAGAAAACGCTCATCAGAGGCCAAGGGGCAGGGGACGGGTGGGCTGTGTCCCCACCCGCCTCCTCCTCAAACTTGGCCTTCTGGGTTTACCGTGCAAAGCTGTGGCTGCAGGGCCTTAGGGGTGAGTGGTCCCCTGTGCCTGCAGAGCCCCCATGCTGGCTCCTCTACTTGGACCCGGCTAACTCATGACCACCCTGCCTTGTCGGGGGTGGGGAACACGGAAATGACCCCAGATCTTTAACAAGCACCCCTGGAATGCAACAAGGCACAGTTTAACACTATCACCAATTCCAGCTTCTCTTTCACTGGAGTTAACATTGAAATCTCCCTCCCATGAGCCTGTCATACTGTCTTCACAGAACTTTGTCACTATCTGAAATTACAATAGTTATCTGCTTCTTTTCTGTCTATCTCCCCCCCACTCCCCAAACACACACTCTCTCCAGAATGCAGGCTCACTTGATGAATTCCCAGACCTGCCTCGGTTATCAGGTGCCCAGTGAGTGTGTGAACGAATGGATGATATCGTTTCGCTTCTCCTATGAAATGGCGATAACCTCCCTTGAAGGGACCTCGGGAGGGATGAAGTTGACAACCTTGTGGCATAGCTATTGCCAGGACCAGCTACATAATTTGCAGGGCCCCTTGTTCAAAAATTATGAAGAATTTCAAGATTGTGACATCAAAGCGTTAAACCAAGTGCAGAGCCCTTCTGAATGCACAGCCCAGTAGAATTCCGTGGGTCACACCCAGGAAGCCAGCCCAGCTATCACACACGGGGTGCTCAATAGCAACACCCAGTGGGACCCGATGCCAGGTCAAAAGCCTTCTATCCCTCCCAGGAAACATGGCTCTGGCAAAGCCACTCCATGGAGCAAAATGTATAACACATTCCCGGCAGCCAGCTGACACCCACTCTACACACGCACGGAGGCAAATGCAGTCACTGTGGCAGCATGTTAGATTCGGGGGCGAAAGTAATCATAGCAGTAGCCTTCATTATAGTTAGTGTTTATTCAGGAGTTTCTCTGAGTTCAATAGTGAACAGGAAGTGAAGTTCAGCCCCTTCTCCTCAGTTCTGAAGTCCAAAAAGCTCTAAAATCCCCCATTTTTCTTAAATTGATCCATACATCTGGGGCAAGCCCTAATTGGAACCATCACGAGGCTATTTCTGCTCTCTTTATTCCACTGCTGTGAAGATCACTGCGTTTGATTATGGAAGGCTGCCCCAGACCCTGTGAGCATCACTGAGTTCACAGCCTATGTGCTGTATGACTCTTCTTTTTTTTTTTTTTTTTTTGTCTTTTTCCGTGTCCGGCAACGGATCGCAACCCTCAGTGTCGCCCCCATACCGGACCGGGACCGGCAACGGGATCGTAACCCTTGGTGTTGCTCCCGCACCTCGCTCAGCCAGTGAGCGGAACCGGTCTGTATGTGGGATCCGAACCCTCGGGCGGGAGCGCCGCCGCTCTTCCCAAGCAGCGCACTATCCTGTATGACTCTTCTAAAGTCCAAAAAATCTGAATTATGAAACACAACTGGCCTCAAAGGTTTCAAGTAAGAGGCTGTGAACCTGAACTATGGTCCATTTTAGAGACAGGTCACTGAGGACCCAGAAGTGTAAGTAATTGGTCAAGAGCACGGCCAGGAAGTGGCTGAGCTGGGACCCCAACCCTATCAGAGGTGAAAATTCAGCTGTTGTTTTGGAAAAGGAAAGATAAACTTTTTACTGGAATAACTCTTTCAGCATCTCCTCATACCACACCATGAATTTGGAAGTTGCTGAGCTGGTGTGTGTGTGTAATAGCACGCCAGGGCTGGTGTGTCCCGGGATACCTTCAGCTAATTAAGCATAATTTATGGACTGGCCTCCAAGGACAAGCCTTAAATTAATTACAAGCTGTGCCAAGGTAACTATCTATCCTACAGGCTATTAATTAGGAATCAGTTTAATCTCTGCGAGTACGAAGGTCACCCACCATGGAGTTGACCCTTCTGGCTGACTGGCGTCATGCTATCAGGTTGGGGATCTGTGCCTGGAGGGCTAGGGGACTCAGGGGAAGTGGGACACGGCAAGGGGAAATGGCCAGGTCAGCACATCCTGCAGAGGCCAGGATGCTGGGAGTGAGCCTGACGGGCCTCAGCTTAGGGGAGGGGAGGCAGGGTTTTGTCTCAGCACCAGCCCTGCAGCTCTGGCCATGCCAAACTCTCTTCGGTCCCCCAAAGAAACCAAACTGTCTTATCTCCCATTTTTCAGACATGCTTTTCCCCTCTGCCTGGGATATTTTCCTCCTTCATCCTCAATGCCTCACCTTAGACCCTATTCCTAGGCAGAGCCAGGATTACTTTCCCAGAAGCCAGACTGCCTGAATTCAAATCCCATGGCTGCGTGTGCTATGTGATCTTAGGCAAATACTTAACTTCTCTGAGCTCTAGTTTTCTCATCTTTAAAATGGGAATAGTAAGAGTTTCTACCTCATAGGATTGCTCTGAGGAGCAAATCAGATTGTCCATGTAAAGCACGTGGGAAGCACTTTATTAACAACAATGAGGGGGTCAAAGACTGGTTGGAAGCCCCATCTATGCCTCCCACCTTGGTCTGCCCCATCAGAGCCCCCATCCCACCACAGTATCATTGCGGGCTACTGGTCCATCTTCCCAGCTAGACTGAGGATGGAGCCGGAACCCTGTGTGTATTCTTCCCTTGTCATGCCTGTGCAATGCCTACCTGATCCCTGTGACCTAGGAGGACCCCCTGAATCCCCTTCTCTTCTGTCAATCAAATCTAACCCTGTAGAAAGCCCTCCAGGATGAGACAGAGTTTTCTGTGGAGTAGCTCTCCACCCAGCATGGAGTACAATTAACATCCTCCATTTCTGTTTTGCTCTGCAAGGACAAACCCTCCCTGATGACTGTACTATGGCCCCAGCTATATTGCCAGCTGCTCTATAGCAGAGACTGTGCCATCTTCCATCCTGGGTGACTCTGTGTGGCACCTGCATGGAACAGAGCTTTGTGTTCAGGAGGTCAGGGCAGACCCAAACAGCATTTTCTGATCCCCTGCTCAGTGTGCTCAACAATCTCATGGAATCTTCCTTTATATACGAGAAAACCAAGGCTCAGAGTGTGTGGCTGGCAGAATAACACCCCTCCCCCCAAGACACCCATGCCGTCATCCCCAGAACCTGTGAATATGTCACCTTATGTGGGAAAGGGAAATTAAGGTTGCAGGAGGAATTACATTTGCTAATCAGCTGACTTTCAGGTAGATTATTCTGGATTATCCAAGTGAGCCCATTGTAGTCACAAAGGGCCATCAGAAGAAGAATCAAAGGGAGAGGTGACTATGGAAGAGGTCAAAGTGATGCAACTTTGCTGGCTTTGAAGACAGAGGAAGGGGCCACGAACCAAGCATTGTGGCAGCCTCTAGAAGCTGGAAGGGGCAAGGGAATGGGTTCTCCCCTAGAGCCTCCAGAAGGAACACAGTCCTGACACCTTCATTTTAGCCCAGTGAGATCCAAGTTGAACTTCTGACCTGCAGAACCGTAAGAGTGTAAACATGTGTTGGTTTACGCTACTGAGGTGGTGGTAATTTGTTGCAGCAACAATAGCAAGCTCCTACAGAGAGGTTAAGGCACTTGTCCAAGGTCTCTAGGTAGAAGAGCTGGGGCTGAAATCTGAGTGACCACTCCAAAGTGTATTGTCTCTCAATGGCATAGCATCCCCTCCCTATGCTAATCTACCAGAATCACTTAAAACAAATAAAACAAACTGCTTCTGTCTTAAAGAAATGCCCTGGAGACTTTTGCAGAGGTGAGAGAGGCATTGGGGTAGATAGCCAAACACGTCTCACCACTGTGTCCAATGTTTACTGTGCACTTATTTTGTGCTCAGGATTTTAGATACATTTTCTCGTTTAACCCACATTTGACGGATAAGGAAATAGAGGCTCAGAGAGGTCTAGTAACTTGGCCAGGGTCACACAGCAAGTGAACAGAAGAGCCAGCATATAAACTTTGGTGCGCCTGACTCCTGAGCTCCAAATCTCAATTGCTATGCTATACTGGCTCCTTCAGAAAGAAACACACACACACAGACACATACACAGACACACGCACGCGCGCGCGCTCCTGCTGACTCGAAGGCCCAGGAGACATCCCCAAAGCTGAGGCAATGGGTCTGCCTGCTGAGGATGTATGAGCCCTCAGAGGGTACACCATGTCTCGAGCTCCTGCTGACCCTGCACCTTGATCTCTCTGTTGCATGTTCACAGGGAAGTGGCCCAGAAAGGCCAGGTCAAACTCCCCCATCTTTGCCAACTGAGATGTGAGGATAGGGGTGTGGAGCCAAGAGAGGACAGACTCCATGCAGGTGTGTCTGCCAGGACTGCCTGCCTGCATGAAGGTCACACTGCCCTTTCTGGTCATGCTGGCCCAGCTCTGCATGACAACCTGTTACTGGGCCTGAGAGAGGCCACTGTGTGCTGGGCTGTGGGAGCTCTAAAAGAACCCCAGAGACCCCTTGTTCCACCTTGGAAGGACCTGGCACCTGCTGTGTTCTGTTTACCTGCCTGCAGCTGGAGGGAAGAGAGAGCTGGCCTTCTATACCATGGAAACATCACCAGGAACCTTGATTGGCAAAAGGGTTTCCTTTACTTTCATATGGCAGTGGCCTTAATCTTCTAGAAAATGTTCCTAAGGAAGTCTATTCACAACTTGCTGGGCCACCTGGATGGCTGCACATTTTGTTTCTTGGAACTGAAAACTCCCTGAAGGCAGAGAGATTTCAGCTCAACCCTGAAAAGTTCATTCCATCCTTTTTTGCCAGTGCATGTCAGCAAATGACCTGATAAGGTCCACAGGATTAGACCCAGAGGTCTGGCTGGGACAGGCAGGCCTGGGTTTCCTGGCAGTTT